TAGACCCATAAAAAGTGGGGAAAAGACATGAACAGACATGTCGTAAAGGAAGATGCCCAAGCAGTCAACAAACATTAAAAAAAAAGTTCAACTTCACTAATCATGAGAGAAATGCAAATCAAAACTACAATGAGATATCACCTCACACCGGTCAGAATGACTATCATCAAAAAGTCAAGAAACAACAGGTGTTGGCAAAGCTACAAAGAAAAAAAGAACATTTCTGCACTGTTGGTAGGAATGCTAGCTAGCTCAGACTTTGTGGAAAGTAGTATGGTGTTTTCACAAAGAACTATACATTTGAACTACCATATGATCATGGATGCAAGTAGAGAGCATCACTCTAAATGAACTATGATGAGTAAACCAACTGAACAAGACAGAGGATCAGGAAATAAAACTATAGACCTTTAACCAATTCATCTTCACAAAAACTGATTACTGTATGTTCTTACTCATAAGTGAGCCCTAAACACTGAGCATAAGAGCACAAAGGCAGGAACAACTGACACCAGGAACTGCTCGAGGAGGGGGAGGGGATAAGGGGCACACAATAATTAATTAGGTACCATGTTCACTACCAGGGAGAAGGAGGACTGACTAGAAGCCCAAACCTCACTGCACACAACTTACTTATGTAGCAAATACTCACATGTACATGGTGTTTTCACAAAGAACTATACATTTGAACTACCATATGATCCAGCAACTTTATAATAAAATAAAGTGAATCGTGGAGTCTGAGATTTTGCTCTACTTGCAAATCAGCAAGTTAGCTAGTCACAATTCCCAGGAGGCTGACAGGAGACATAGACTCCCAAGCCAAAGATGGAAACCAGTTTATGGAACAATAGCAGCAACCACAGTATTGAAATCTGTTCCCTAAGGCCCAATTCCCACTTGATGACATGAAGTGAACCAGGTGATGCCTGCACACTCAGTGGGTTATATCACAGGAGAGGAATTCCAAGCTTAGAGAATCGCAAGATTCTCTTAATCTTATAATAGACAACTTGCTGCTTTTGATCTGGAGATAAATTATCCTGTTCAAGAATACAAGCAGTGCCTATGATGAGATATGCAGAAACGTGAAAGGTACGAAGAATTGTCTTGCAATACTTCTTTCCTTGCTTGGCAATTTTGTTAATTTCACTTTGTTGGTTGTATTTATATTCCTATAAGTATTCTTGAACTTCTTTCTGGGATGTGGTTAATTACTCAGAAACATTTTGATCCTTTCAAGTCTCACTTTTAAGCTGTATTGGGGAAGACAAGAGCAGCATTTCATCTACAGCCTGTTTTACTTCACTACTAAGGCAAAAGCCTCTGAGTTCTCTATGAATGTTCAGGTTTTTCAGTCTGGCTGGTGGGAACGGGCACTCCTCCTACTGCTGCACAAGCACCAGATATCATTCCCTTAGATCTTCTAGGGTCCTTACCCAGCCTTGGATAGTTTCCTTTCATGTATACACTTATATAAGTACTCAGCTGAAGATTTGACGAGATCTCTCTCTAGACTTCTAAGCAAGCCCTAAGGAAAACTGTCCCGCAAACTCTACCTGCCTTGGCCTCCCAGTCCTCTCAGCTCTGTCTCCTTAACCTGGAGAGTCTTTTGGACTCTCCTGGGTTCCTTCTCTTTGCACCATAGCATAGAAACTCTCTTCAGGTAGCTGGCTGGGGCAACCACAGGACTCACCTCAATTCCTGACACTCAGGGATCATTAACACTTACAAAATATCAACGTTAATTGATACTTTAACTCTCCATGTTAATGGGACGACATTAGGGCACTTTAATTTACCTCATTCCAATAAACATCATTATTGTGGTATATTTTAATGTTTTATATATATTTATATCTTAACAACACATTATTATTATTGATTTATAAATCCAGCAATATTAATTTAGACTTATCTAATAATTACTCTTTACTTTGCTTTTAATTCCTTCCTCCCTCTTTAACCTTCTATCTGGGATTAGTATCTTTCTACCTACAGAACTCTAGAATTCTCTGGTGATGAACTGTGCCTTTTTTTGGAGGGGGAGGCCCAAAATGTCCTCCATTGACCTTTATTCTTGAAACATATTCCCCCCATCCCGGTTTAGAATTCTTGATTTGCAGCTTTTTTGTGGTAAAGGCTTAGTTATCAGTCCAAGTGTTTGGAGATTGTTTTTTGGATGTTCTCTTTATCTTTGGCTTTTAGTAGTTTTACTAGAATGTGCTTTGTTGTGGATTTATCTTTATTCTTTCTTCTTGGAGTTCAAAGGACTTATGGAACATTTGGCCTGATGTCCTTTGTCAATGTAGGACATTTCTCATCGTAATTTTTTCAAATACTTATTCTGCCCAATTCTTTCCATACTGTCTAGGACTCTAATTAAACTTGTGATAGACTTTTTAAATTAGATCCTCAGTCTCTTTTTCCCTTTCTTTAGTGTTTGCCATCTTAATTTTTCCCCTACATTTTTATTTTAGATATACTATTCTGACCTAACTGGTAGTTCACAAGTTCTTTTTCACTTATGCCTAATATGTTGTAAACCCATAAATCCATTCAGTGAATTCTTAATTTCAGTTATAACATCTTTTGTTTCTAGACTCTCTTTTTAAAATTATTTTTGTTTTGAATTTCCAGTTCTCAACTGAAATTTCAATCTTTATTTCCTTATACATATTCAAGGTAATTATTTGCTACTTTATGTTTACAATGCTAATCTTTTCAGTTTATATGGGCTTCTCCTGACTTTTTGTCTTACTTTCCATGTTACCTTATTTCCTCATTTTTTTCTGGCTGTTTTTTATATGTATGTGCTGAACCTTATATATTACAAATTATTTATGCAAATAATTTGACGACAACAACACTTTTTTTTTCTCCTAGTACATATTTTATACTAGTTTGTCCTAGGTGCCTGGAGGAGACCAGCAATCAGGACTCGTCTTAATTTAATTTGGAGATTAAAATTATTTGAAGCCAGGTAGCAGTCTTTCAGAAGACCAGTCTACTGCTGGTTCATTCTTCCTGCCACAGTACAGGGGGGTTTTCAGGGTCCCTTGCCTTTTTTTAGTAATGGAATTCAGACACTTTGTGTAGAATCAGCAAACATCCTAAGGTAAAAAACAGTTCCAAATTTGGGGTTCACATATCTGGAAATTCATCATTTCCCAGAATTTAGCTTGACAATTCTTCACTATCTTATTAGTTCACAGATGTCTTTAAACAGTCTCTCTCTCTTCATCTATACTATATAATAATGTGAATACTATATTATATTATGTTTTAGTAATATGGAATGTAGAATACTATGATTAATATAGATTATTAGTAATAATCTTAGCAATACCTATTAATATAGAAAATAACATTATTTTAACATAGAATAATATGCAATATATTATAATGTGATACATAATACAATCAAATAATATATATAACACATATAATTATATACAGGGAGTGCCAAAAACTATATACATATTTTAACTATCATGCTCACTCAAAAGATGACATTAATCAAATGTCACCATGTGACAGGCAGGACAATCAAACAAAATGGCAGAAGCATGGCTGAGTGAATATCATACTACACATTGCTGTAGTTATCCAATTCAACTTCAAAAAGTAGTACATAGATAACATCTCTTAAAATGTGTACACAGTTTTTTTTGGCACCCCTGTATATATTTTTTGTCTAGTTGTTTTTAGAGAGAGAAATGGTCTAAATTATTTAGACTTTCACTATTGAAAGCAAACCTTTCTTTTGTCTTTCTGATTTTAAACCAACTTATACTATAAATTTTAAAGTTAAAAACATATATATAGGTAATATACTTTGGTGCTAATTTTGAGTAGTTATTTCAAAATTATTTTATAGAAAATAATTACTTCCACATTTTCATACATTTAGTTAGTTCCTTATCGTATAGTTCCTTCCCACTGTACCTTTCTCAGTCTTGAATTTTGCCTTTTTTCTATTTTTATTATTTCTGCTCAGGATGTCTGTTAGTTTATTCAGAAAGGATACCTGGGTGTTCTATTTTCTTAATCTTTGTATTCTTGAGAAAATATTACTCTTGACTTCATGCATGAATAAAAACTTCACTATATATAGAAACTTTGTCCTTTAGAGCTCTGGAAATGTTACTTCATTTTCTTCTAGCATTTAGGATTGTGGAGGAAGAAGGCTAAAGCTAATCTGATTCTGATGATTTTGCTTATAACTTGATTTTGACTTACATGTTTAAAAAGCCTTTCTTTATTACTTATATTCAGAAATTCCATGAGGCTACATAGGTGTCTGTGTTCTCATTTGAGTTTTTTGTTATCTTTGCCAGTAAATATAATGTGTACTCTCATGTTTGGGGTGGAGGAACTGGTTTGTATCAGGGAAATTTTTCTGTTATTTTTCTACAGATTGCTTCATTTCTGTTTGTTCTATTCTATCTTGTTGGTTTTCCAAGAATATGGAGATTTACTCTCCTGGATTTATTCTCCATGTTGTCCAGTGAGGATACTTACTCTCATTGTTATCACACATTCATTTCAGTAGTTGTAAACCCAGTGCTTATAGAAGTCAGGCAGGTAACAATAGACAAAATAAATGAAACCAGTCTGGTACAAAAATAATGAGTTGTGGGCAGTGTGGAGAGCAAAAGCCCCAATAAAGATAACAGCTACCAATTAGTTGAGATTTGTACTAGTAAAATATTATCAGAATTCCATTTTTTCCAGAAAAAGTCAAAACTTCTTTTTATTAGCATGCGCCTGTAATTCCGGCTACTCGGAAGGCTGAGGCGGAAGGATCGCCGAGCCCAGCAGGCAAGGCTGCGGTGGCCTGGAGCAGCCACTGCACTCCAGTCTGGGTGACAGAGTGAGACTCCAACTCAAAAAAATAAAAAAAAAATAAATAAAATAAAAAGTGTAATATACCCCAGCAAGGAGAAAACAACAACAACAGCAATAATTGATAACTGATAAAGGGTCTCACAACTTACCATTGGGATGATCTTGGTCACACACAGAACAATCTGTTACTTCATTGTCTTTTGTACTTTCATTGTCATCCTTTGCAGACTCTAAGAACAAACAAGCAGAACCTTTAGCTAGCATTAATTAACTGGGAAATAGAGCAGCTTCTAGCACTAACATGAGAGATTTATATTTGGGAAAACCAGAACTCATTATATTTTTATAAGTAACCATTAAAATTCTTAAATGTCCATCAATAAATAAGCTTTTCTTACAGCACTGCATAAGATATCTGCACAAAGCTTACAAAGGTAGAGATGTGGCTGGGACATCTTTTTGCAACAAAGGAGGAAACATAAGCAGGCTTTATGCATCAGTAGATGTCTTAGAATTGTAGGAAAGGATAGGAAGGGAAGGCAAAACAGAGAAGATTAAAGGACTATCTAATTTTAATGTTCTTAATGCTTCCATTACTGTGGTTGTTCACATATGGGCGCCTTGAGTCCTTGAAAAAGTCAAATATAGAGCCTTGAAATCCGGTGGTAATTAAGTTAATCTTCCTCAGGAACCGTAACAGTAGAACAATAGCAACGAGGGAATGCAGACCGTCTGGTCCCTGCAATGTCATTCCCTCCCTCACACAGCACATTTAAACATAGAATCAGCATACACTTATCTTTTTTGTTATAGGATATGTTTACAGGAAATATCATAGCTAAAAGGATTCTGTGACCATGGTCTATTACAAAGCTAGAAAGGGCCCCTTGTTGAATGTTTGAGGCCTCTCTGGAGGTCCTTTAAAAAAGCGTTGAAAAGAGACTGTGAATGGATCAGGACGAAAACAGCAAATAGGCCTTTCATTCATTTTACAAAAACTTATTATAGACCAAGTATATACCAGGCACTCTTTTTAACTCTGGAGTGCAAACAGGAAACGGAACACCAAATTTCTGCCTTCATGGAGCTTACGGTCTAGTAGACAGTTTTTATGCAGATGAAAGAGAAGAAAGCCAAAGGTATACGAAAGCCATTGACTTATCTTGTGGGCAAGGGGCCTCAGAGAAAGCTGGAGATGGTAGAGCAACACCTTGATTACTTACAAACAGTTTCTCTACTGAATTTGCTTCTCTCAGTTGAGTTTTAACACCCTAACAGAGTTGAGTCATATGAAATCTGAAATAAACCATTCTTTCTTTGTTTCCCTCTCCCTCCTCCCCTTCTCTCTCCTCCTTCTCTTTCTCTCAAAACAGGAGATGGCTTTAAACAATAAAGTTTGGAATATTATGAGACAGTTTGTTTCTTGAACCTGCCACAAGCAACATTTGATGGACAAGTGAGAAACCTGGGTAGTTAACATATGATTCAAATTTAATAACCAGTGAAGCAAGTATACACCCGAAGTGTGTGGTTTTAATTAACTGCAAATAATTCCCCCAAGGCAAATGTTTAATTATCTGCACTGCTTCTTATTTCTTTCTGAGACTGACAATAAGTTTAAAAGTCCAAATTTGGAAGCAAAACTGAGCACAGACACATTTTCCAAATTGTTATCTCGCTCATGTCAAATTGTTTAAAACCAGCTCCCATTAAAATATGCTCTTTTAATTTTGGAGCTAAGATGTGGACTAAAAAAAATTCTTTTAATACTGCCTTCCATATTAACAATGAAAATAAATAATGATGAAAAAGCTACTCTCTGGATCAGACTAAATTTCAAACTGGAAGTGTTTTAGTTTTACTTGTTTGTAAAAAATAGTATTCTTCAATATTTAGTCTTGTGCACTTATTTCTCTTAAACATTAGTGTTTTAAGATTATCCAAGATTTTGCATGTAGCTAAAATTTATTCATTTACACTGAACAGTAATTCATTATTCTCTCTAATTTACATAAACATTATGCTTCTGCACCAAATATTGCATACGAAATGTCTCTTAAAAGGCGATTTACATTCTGTTTACAAGTTTATAGTCTAATGATTCACATAAGATGAGTGAAAAGCACTTTAAAAATTAATCACTGAACTGTACCTGTTTTGTTTTGTTTTTTTAACTAAAATCCATATCTTTAGCAAATTAATTGCCTCTTTGATTTCAATTTTCTTGGGGAGTTGCTTTAACATTATTAAGGCACCTTCTGATCTTATGTGCTCTATATCAACTCTATATAATGTTATGTTTCTATATAATGCATTTCATTGAACCCAAGATGCATTGTTATTTGCATTATTATTTTGTGCAGTATTAGAAAAAATGTTGCCTACTGAACTCTAACACATCATCAATTCTTAGATGTGTCCTGATTTTAGAAATTAAATATTTGAAAGAATATGCATCTTAGAAATGTCATTTCAGTATATTCTATGTGCACATGTCTTTATGTATACATGTCTTTATGTAATAACAAGGATTTCATATTGATATGACACATTATCAAACTTACAAGTTCACTCTATCATACCTGTGAGCCTTTTCTCCAGAAATGGTTCTGCTGCTACATACATCAATAAAGTAGGCTAAAAGGTACTATATGAGCCCATGACAACATTCACAATAACCAGGTCACTATAAAGATTGTTTCCACTGAATTTACTCTGCTAATAGGACTATCTGAATTTCTAGCCTCATAAACTTTAGCAAGCCTAGTATATTTTAAATCATGGGTCCCATTCCATTGTGCCTAGTTGTGGGTTTAAAATGGCAGTATAGGTTGGCTGCTTAGGCAGTGATGAAAACTGCACCATATATATATATCTGATATTATTATTTATAATGATAGAGAGGGAAAACATATGTAGTTGTTATGGTCTGAATACTTGTGTCCTTCCAAAAAGAAGGAAGGTGATTAGATCATGAGGATGGAGCCCTCATGGACAGGATTAGTGCCTTGAGAAAAAGGCCCCAGAGACCTCCCTTGCCCCTTCCACCATATGAGGACACAGCAAGAAGGCAATATTTATGAGCCAGAAAGTGGGCCCTCACCAGACACCAAATCTGCTAGTGTCTTGACCTTGGACTTTCCAGTCTCCAGAACTATAATAAATAAATTACTGTTGTTTATAAGCCACCTGGTATATGATATTTTGTTACAGCAGCTTGACTGGACTGAAACTGGTTTATACAGTATCTAAAAGACTTTACTATTTTTATGTAAGTTCTACCATGGAAAATGTAATTGCATATACAAAATTCTTACAGCAACTTAGATTTGCATTTTATTAAATTCTAAAAATCATCATTTGATAATGTTCAAAAAATGTAAAACAGTTATCACTTGATTCTGAGATTCAGTCAATGTTATTTTAATAGCAGAGAACTGGAATTAAATTTATATGTAGATTTTGACTTTCAAAATCTTTAAGGTCAATGTCATATTTAAAGAATTTTTTCAAATGCAAATATTAAATCAAACATTCAAGCCAAATGTCTATAGATAGATATGCTTTTAAGATTAACAAGAATAAAAAGGATACACTTTCATAAATTTTTAAAAAAATCCTCATTTAGAAAGTTGAAAAAGGTTTAAAGGAATATTTAAAATAGATTAAAATAAAATTGAAAACCTCATAAAACAGAAAATCCAAAAAGTAGGTCACTTTTAAGAAAGTTAATTACACATATCTACACAGAATAGTACATGTAGGGATTTAAGCTGTGATGACAAATGATGAAATCATTGAATTTTTAATACAAATATCTAAGCCATAAATAAAAATAAATACCATATCTTTCTAATATCTCTCCTTAGAACAAAAGTTCTTAATCCTAGAGGATACCTGGGTATGCTCTAGGGGTCCACAAACCCTTTTAAAAAGACATGCAAAATGTGTGTATATCCTCATATGCTCATTTTTCTAGGAAGGGCTAGCTTCCATCATGTTCTCATAGGAACCCATGAACCCACCAAGGTTAAAAAGAACTAAAAATGTATGTTTCAAAGCCAGTGACACTGTCATTTTATAAAAGGTCTTCTGGATGATTTTTGAGAAGTTAACTACTGAGTCTGAGGCCGCTCCATGAATTCACCAATGATGGCAAATCTTGAATTCTTAAGGTAGATTTGACTTGAGGAAATAACCAACAAATACAGGATTATAACAAATACTGTGTTAAATAAACAAGAAGGACAATCCAGCTGGCAAAAGACATTTTGTACCAAAATTAGAGTAAATATAAAGTCTAAAACCGAATAGGTGATTAACTGTCTTTGAAGGTAACTATTCAAGTGAAGAAGTCTATAAAATGCATCTAGTAAGAGAGGTACCCCCTGACTACTATTTGGAGTGGCGACAGGGGGTTCACTTTGCTGTATAAGTTCTAATGGGTCTGAACAAAATAAATGCAATACACAAAAACCTACACACAAAATACTCTTTCTCTGTAATCTGTAAATGTCTACACATGAGTATCAGAGCTTGATGCAAAAGTTGTGCAGAAACACAATCACCTGGGTTTTCTTTGATTCTTGTTAGCTAATTTGATTATACCAAGCAAAACATTTATCCTGGCCTGTTCATTAGAATCCCTGGCCTATTATGTGAAGCAATTAGGAAAAAGTAATTTTTCCTCCATCTGAACCATGTATTCATCCACAATAACCTAGAATCTCTGCAGCTGATAAAGGTCTCACTGAAATATTGCAATGGCCATTCCTTTGTATAGGAAAAATATATTCTGCAGCACATACCCAGAGTATTCAGAAGTTGATGATGTGAACTGTGTTTGGTCCCAGGGAAGATGGATATACAAGGCTGAACTATATTTACCCGAAAGATAACTGGGCCCACAGAAAGGACATTGCTCTGAGTGTCAGGAGGCCCAAATGAGCTGTGGTTGGTCATTTGTCTTCATTATGCTCTCATTAACCCCCATTAAAAGGTGGCCGATCATTCCCTGAGTTACAGAATCCAGGGACAGGTTGATATTCCTTAACTAAAATTCTTGGAACCAGAAGTGCTTCAGATTCTGGATTTTTGAATTAAGGATAGTCAACTCATACTAACAGTCTTTCAGGCAGGGCTTAGAAAGACACCATCATGCACAACTAATTTGATTTCTATTAGAAAACCCAAATTTCAAATAGTAAATTTGCACAGAGCAGCTCATTCC